GGTGAAGACCTGGATGTTTGTGCAGGCGTTTGAGTAATTTAGTGAAATCTGGTAATGGAACATAGGAATGGAACAATGGACGACGAACCTGGACTACGCTTGGATGATGAGAAGATTGGGTACGGTTGTTTTTTGTAATAATTGTGCATTGTAATTGCTTATTGGTAATTTATGGATAATGTGTTAAGTCAATTGTTATATGTTGTATGGAACCACTGCTGTTTCTACTGTTTTTACTGTTTGTGAACCGCTGTGAGTCGCCTTCGGGCTTGAGATACAGCGGTATATAAGCAAAGTAAATAAATAAATAATAAATAATTGTGGGTATATGTGCCTTCTAGTCACCCATTGACTTAGGGAAAGCCTATGAAGTTCACAGGATTTTTTAAGGCAAGGAATAATCAAAGATGATTTTGCTATTGTCCTTTTTTGAAATATAGCCAACAGCACTTAGGTTTCTTTGGCAGACTCCCCATCGAAAAACCTTGCTTAGCTCACACGATCAGACAGGGTCAGGTGCTTTCAGGGTATTTAGGTCTACATTCTGCTGCCTACCAACAGATTTGGGTACTATGCCCCTCAAAATGCAAGTAGACAACCTAATATATTAGGCTACAGTGAAGAAAACTCCATTTCCACTAGACTGACTACTACCTTTTCTAAACTCCTGCATCTGAAGGCTGCAGTCTATCTTATCAGGGAGTGGGCAGAGGTGACACAGTACACTACTGCCTCTCCTGCAAATCTCTAAGAACACCCCTCTAGCATCTATTGCCTGATGCAACTGCCTCATTCTTCCTTCTACTAACTATTAGTTCTGAGAATATTATCCTATGTGAGACCTTGTAAGAGGGGAAGGGAAAAGATAAGGTGGCTTACACAGATTACTGTAAATGTGATATGAGAGTACTAATTTAGTATTACTGAGAAGCACTGAAATATTTTCCTGTACAAGAATGGATAAGCACAGAAGATTATTTCAGACAAAAATATCATGGTCTGGCTCTGATTTGAGTATATTTAGCTATTATTTTGTCCACCCCATCCCTTCAAGAGGTTGCAATCCAAAATTGAAGTCAGAAAGACAAGTTAGAAATGATAAGAGTTAGTGAGAGAAAGGGAGAGAGACTGGCTGAGAGAGACAAACATTGGCTTGGTGACGAATGGATTCATTTCCTCATCTATGCCCCACATACATTGAATCCATGAAGTCTAGGTTAATATAGACTACAAAACACACAATCTTACACATGTTCAATCATCAGTAAAATGGACTAATCAGAAATCTAAATGACAAGAAAGTCATATAATCTGAAAACAGAAAAAAAAACTAGATTTGTTTATATAATGCTTTGTGAAACAATTGCAAGGTGGAACAAAGATAGGTTTCCAAAGACCTGGAAGTGACACAGAAAGACCCGTAATACTTTAGAACAGGGGTTCTCAAACTTTTAAAGCCAGAGAGCCCTTTTTGAAGGAAAAGTTTCTCATGGAGCCCCAATAAACTTTTTTGACACAAGGGCCACATTGCATTTTAAAATTTTACAGATGGGATAGTCCAATGACTGATGGATGGGAAATGTTTGTGTGAACTAACAGAAAAAAAATTGAACAAAAATATGCACATGGCACATATCTTGTTAATAATAATAATAATAATAATAATAATAATAATAATAATAGGATCAACTCCAGGGGGCATCCAGTCCAACCTGTTTCTGCCATGCAGTAAAAGCACAAATCAAAGCATTCCTAACAGATTACCATCTTGCCTTTGAAATCATAATAATAGTAATCATAATAATAATGATAATAGAAGCAACTCCAGGGGCCACTCAGCCCAACCTGTTTCTATCATGCAGGAAAAGCACACTCAACGCAACGGCAGGAAGGCCTCCCTGCCACCATTGTGGCCTGCAGGGCCTTCCCACTGGGGGCAGAGGAGACCCTGCAGAATATGGCAGCGGAGAAGCCCCATAGGCCGCAGCAGCATGCTTCCTAGGCTGGAGGGAGGGGGATCCGAGAGGCCCCTGCAGAGCCTCTGACTGTGCTTCATTGAGTCCTATGGGCTCCATGGAGCACAGTTTGAGAACTGCTGATTGAGAAGATTATACATTAAGCGTTGAACTATAACTATGGACAGCAGTGTTAAAATCCCCAGTCAATCATGAAAATGCATTGGGTGACTTTAGGCAAGTGACATGCTCTCAGAAAACCCTGTGATAGAGATGCCTTAGGGCTTCCATAAGTCAAAAATGACTTGAAGGCATAAAACAACCATAACAAAGTTGAGTGAAGAAGTAGCAATGGGGACACTGCAGGTACCATATTTGCATTTTAACTATCAGGCAATAAAGCATTGGGAAAAGGGTGCATATACTCTAATAGATAAAAACAGATAAAAACTGGGACATAGATAAAAACTGGGACATGTATGACTATGCAATATCAGAATATTTTCAAGATAGGAAATTATATTGGCAAGAAAGTACAGAATATTGGAGAGATTGTAACAGTTTGCTTTTGCCTGAGCCAACTGAAAAGGACAAGATCCCATCATCTTCTTTCTTCCGTCCTCTCTCCTCACTGAGTTAATTGAGTGCAAACTACTTCCACACTTTGACCTCAGTTTGAAGCAATTGAGGTAAGCTGAGGACAAGGGGGGGGGAGCAAGAGAATAAGAAGGAAACTAGGTCATTTTAAAAGCAGCTGAAAAGGCAGGGCAACAATTTGAGAGGTGATGAAATCATCCTCTTTAGCTGGGATGGGGAATGTATGGTCTTTCACCAGAGGGAATTTCAGCAGTTGCCATGGGTCCCCCCCCCCCCCCAATGACAAGTCATACTTACTAGAAGTCCCTCATCCTTCTTCCCTTTTCTGCATTTTTTAGTCAGTGGGACACCCTTTCCCTTGTGGTAGCTGACTATTTCAAAGGCCCCTCCTCTAAACAACAAGCCCCAGAATTCTGCAGGAGGTAGCCACATTATTGGGGTTATGTGGGGTGCAGGGTGACAGGATCTTGCACTGCACACCAGATTCACCATCCCCTCACTATCACCATTTGAAACACAATGTGATGAAATCTTTAGTGATATAAGTAAATGTCTCAAATGAATTTTCACTCCACTGTTAAGGTTGCTGCATTTTCTTGGGCCACTCACTGCTTTTGAGTTTCACCTACTTCAAGAGATTGTTGCAAAGACAAAACGAGAAAAAGAATGACATACACTGTCCAATCTTCAATCTCATTGAAGGGCGGGATCAAAACAATGATACAAGGATTACAGAGTCTGAACAAGAAATGCATACAGATTCTAAATCTCATTATGATTTAGAATCTATTAAGAGCTACCAACTAAAAGAATAATGTTTCAATTATTAAGATCCCCAAATCTTAGACAAACTCTGTTCCAACCTAAAGGTACAAAACTCTGTCTTTAAGCTTGGCTGAAATGGGGGACAATTCTATAATACAAATCTAAGAATGAGAGCCAATATGACATAATGGTTTGAATGTTGGACTACAACTCTGGAGAGCAAGGTTTGAATCTTTCCCAACCTTGAAAGCTTACTGGGTGATCTTGGGCAAGTTACACAAACCTAATCTCACCAGAGCATGGATCCACTTTACATCCAGTTTCTGCCTCCTGCAGAATGCTAGGGTTTAGTTTTGTGAGGTCCAGGACCTGGCTGGCTGAGCAGTTTAAAGGCCCCTCCCTAAACTACGAGCCCCAGAATTCTGCAGGAGGCAGAAACTGGTTTTAAAGTGGATCCATGCTCTAGTGTGATGAGATACTTTAGCTTCAGAAAACTCCATGACACGGTTGACAAAAGTTGGGAACAACTTGAAGGCACACAACAATAAATAAATTTCCAAGACTTTGGCATGCATCCATTCACCTCTTTGGCCAAGAAATTACATTTGTTATTCGCTATATGAAAACGTATGTGAAAAGATCTAGAAAACTTGCATCAAATTTGTCTTGAGCCAAGTCATGAGTAGCAAGGGGTCAGTGAAGTACAAGGCTTCTCCACCTTCAACACGTGTGTAGAAGAAGGAACTCTATTTAGTGGAGTTTGTAGGTTGTATCATACATAATTAATTTTTTTCTGGGTTCCTTTCACACTATGTTTGTGTCCAATGTTTTAATTGTCATGGTTACCACATGTGAAATTTTAGGATTTGTAGTTTAAGGAAGGTGATTTAAAATCATCATCAAGAGAGTTCCAAGTGTTTTATTAAACTACAAACCCCAGCATTCCACAGGGTGCAGCCATAGCAATAGAAGTAGACTCTTAGTGCTATAATTAGGTAGGAATATAAAAGGATTCCTGGTCCATTTAACCATTAAAAAGACAAAAATCATGTTCTTCTTTTATTGCACAAAATGTAAATGCATAGACATGTGGCCCAAAGAAAATTAATGATAATTTCATTTATCTTTGTACTAGAACTCCTTTCACCTGAAAATGGTCTCAAAATAGTTCTGTCTTAAATACAACTTAAAATACAAGCAGGCCATTTAAAAGACTTGGGGGAGATTGTAATACAGATACACCAAACAAAATCTTCATAAATAAAATGAATAAATTAATTCCACAAACAAGGAGCTTTAAGTCCCTAGCCAGGATCATAATCCCAGTTGACACATTTGTCTCCGAGATCTTTTGAAGATGATACCACATGAGATAGATCCCTTAAACAGACAGTACATATTTTAGTGTATATATCTTTGAATTGCCCATTGACTTATACTGATCCCATGAATTTCATAGGGTTTTCTTAGGCAAAGAGTACTTAGAGGTGGTTTGCCATTGCCTTCTGCTGAAATATTGTCTACAGTGCTTGGCATTTGTTGGTAGTGTCTCATACAAGTATTAACCAGGACTGACCCTGCTTTCAAGATCAGACAAGATCTGATACCTTCAGGATATTTCGGCACACATAAAAAAGACACCATAAAAAGATCTAGACTCTAGTAATTTAAGAGAATACTTACTAGTTGAACAAGCATCCATCATAACACCTTTCCAAGAAGACAGTTCCAACTCCTGAATCTAGTACAGTGGCTGCGTCATTTTGTCTTTCCATCTACGCTACTTCAGAGTTAAAATGATGTTTCAACATGATGACAGCCTGAAATGAAGCAACCCAAGGACTCTCCTCCTTGGTGACTCCACCCTTTCCTCGTGGTTCCGCCTTGTGCATTCAGATTGACAGAGGAAACTATTTGCTCTCTGGACAGAAATGTCAGTTCTGCAAATGATCAGAGGTTGTTTCCTGAAAAACCCACAGTGTTGCTGCTGCTACTGCTTAGACTTTTATTTACATGGCAGTGTGGTTTTCATCAAAGGGGGTCTGATGAACTGCACACCAGTCAGCCCAACGAGGTTCATCCTATGGAATCAGATACTTATAATGACCTGATTCCATAGGATGAAATGGTCATGTTTTCACCCCATGGAATTCAAAGATTTGCAATGTAGAGAGGAGTATTTAGAATTCTCTGTCAGAAACTCCTAGTGCTTCATCAAACTACCAATGCCAGGATTTCAATTAAAGTGGAATCAGAACACTGTATTTGTGTAGTGCAAAAGGGTCCACTCCACACTGTCACAGGAGGACTACAGTACTCTTAGCCATTCTTTAGTTTTGCCTAACATGGAAGAGAAGGTGTCCCTATGCACTGTTTTTAACATTGTTTTTAGGGTTGCCATATTCCAAAATATTCCAGAATATGTTTGAGTTCTCAGGCTTCTTGTCCACAGTAAGCCTGTGATCAAAATCCAAATGATGGCATCAACTAGAGTAGACAAGTCACACTGGATCATTAGTGCAACTTAAGTATGTGCTGATTTACTCAATGTCAATTTCTTCAATGGGTCTACTTTAAGTAGGGACTAGCATCTAAAGTGCAGAGTGCAATGGTTTGAGCACTCGGTTATGATTCTGAAGACTAGGGCTCAATCCCATGCATAACAATCCATTAGATGATTGTGGATGAGTCACACTCTCTTAGTCCCAGAAACCTCCATGATACATTCACTTTAGGGCCACCATAAGTCAGAAATGACTTGAAGACACAGAATAGCCACAACCCACCTGGATTTAGATCACCACCTCATGCATAACTTGCTTCTTTTCTGCTGTGCAGTAGGAAATAAAAAAGAGGGCCCATGGAGAACAGATAGCATGGAGCAGGAAGACACCAAGATAATATTGCTTTGACCTCTGCAGAAATACCTACAATGCAATTGTGCCAGAATTTGTGGCGGGCTGTGGTCTGTCTCTCCCATAGAGAAGAAACACAATGGTACATTGCATTCTTGTACCACTTCTCCATAACTTTATCTTTGTTCAGTGCAGGATTGGTGGATACACCCAATGGAAACATTCTTGCCTTGATTAGTATACAAACAAAGCTATAGCCAATCTACCATCTTTCAGACATAACAGATAGAGGGAAATTACAAGTTGCCCCTAGATGGATGAGAAATTGATTCGGTTTTTTTTTATATGGACTTTCTAATATTCTTCATAAACATGGCAGAGAGAGCTTGAGCTTTCTTAAAAATAGAGAAAAGGATAATTATTCTAGTCAGTTAACATCTGAATATTTGGTCCTTAAAATCTGGTTTTCAGTATCTGTGCATTCAACCTTGTTTGCAGGCCTAAATTAAAACTGACTCTTCTTTTCTCTAACAGTCTTCTGAACCTTAACAGCTACATGGACTGGAAGGCCCATGAGGTCTCTTCCAACTCTTTGATTCTATGATTCTATGGCAGGCAGGTATACATGGTCCTTTCAGGTGTCTACTAGATTTGGCAAGTAAATATGATTCAGGATTTATTTGATTTCTTTTTTAATAAGAGTTCGCATTAATTCTAGAAGTTCCTCTTCAGAAGAATTGAAAGAATAAAAATTTTAGACAATTGGATAATGAGAGAAATGAAACAGAAACACTCTGCCATCCTTCCTATATACATGGTAAAGTTTGAGAAGTGAACATGTACAGTATTTTAGAGCTATTCTCTCTCAATCTCAATCTCTCTCTCTTAGGGTGTATTCACAGTTTCAGCCCACTTTTACTGTTATGATTCAATGCTATGGATTCCTGGAATTTTTAGTTTGGCGAGGCATCAGCACTTTTAGCAGGAAAGGCTAGAGCCTGTGTAAAACTGCAACTCTGATGACTCCATAGTATTGGACCAAGGCAATTAATGTGGTGTCAAACAATGCATGCTCAGTCCTTCATTCATGAAAAAAGCAGATACCAGAGCTTGTCTAAACATAATGCCTTCTAATCTACATATTTTTCTCATCATTCCTAATGCTGCGGTCATGGTGGATGGGATATCTAGTTGTGTATCATCGATTTTTCATCTTTAGATGAAAAGGAGCCCTAGAAGCTGGGTTCAGAAACAGAAAACTGGACCAGCAAGGGTTGTTTAATCCTTTCTCAGGTTTATGATATTGTAAATACATAATTTGCTAAAAACCATTTCCTCAGCTACTTTTCCAGCCATGAAAGAAAACATGCATGTCCTCCTTAATTTTTCTACAGTGCAAGAGAATATCAATCTATATGTGGATTTTTTAATTTTAGTGGGTTTTTTTAAAAAAATGACAAACTGGGTTTTTTATATGCTCACTTCCAGCCTCCTACAGCTAGTTATCTTTCTGATGATAAAACATACGCCTCCAATAATTAAATCACTTGAGCAAATAACAACATATATTAATAAAGATATTAAAACATATAAAGTGCATAATTCCATTCATCCATAATCCTTGTTCATAATCCTGCGTTCAATTCTGTAATATCCTATTCTTCAAACTGCTGTATAGTCAGGTCTTTAGCTTTTTTTGAAAAAAAACCCAGAAGTGCTGAGGACCAACTGGATGTCACTGGGAGGGAGTTCCATAGCCAAGGGGCCACCACTGAGAAGGTTCTGTCTCTCACTCCCACCAATCATGCTTGCAAAGGGGGTGGGGCCAAGAGCAGGGCTCCCCAGCAGACCTTAGAGCTCTAGTTGACTCATAAGGGGAGATACGTTCATACACGTAAGTTAGACCAGAACCATTTAGGGCTTTATAGGCCAAGGCCAGCACTTTGAATTGGGCTTGGTAGCAGACTGGCAATCAGTGGAGCTGACACAACAGATGGGTTGTATGCTCTCTGTACGCTGCTCCAGTAAGGAATCTGGCTGCCACCCGTTGGATTAATTGAAGCTTCCAGGCTGTCTTCAAAGGCAACCCCACATAGAGCACGTTACAGTAGTCTATACGAGATATAACAAGAGCATGGACCACCTGGCCAAGTCTGACTTCCCCAGGCACAACTGGAGCTCAAGTTGCAGTTAGCAACTTGTACATTTATGCTACTTTAATTGCAATTTATGCATCAGATGGAGTCCTGGGATTTGCAATTTAGTGAAGCATTAGACCTCTCTGAAAGAAAACTTTAATTGCATCATGAAACAACAAATCACAGAATTCTATATGATTGACCCATGACAGTTATAGTAGCATCAAAGTGTTATAATTTTGTAATGTGAAAGAGACCTCACCAATCCCTTTTTCTCACATTAGAGTTTGTTTGTTCTTTTAAACAACTTTGGGCTCTTTCAATCCCTAATGTGAATTTTTTTCTCAATTTTTGACAAATTCTTCCAAAATAAACCAAATCTAAATTCTCCCCCATTTGCTCTGGCCAAATTCAATAGGTGCAGGTATTTCTAACATGGAGAGGATGATGTCATAACTGCTTGTAATGGAATAGTTAATAAGAAGAAACTTGCAACAAATACTGATGATTCCCATGTCAGTTGGGCACTGAATGTACTTCAGATTTTAATCCACATTTAAAGGAGCGTTCCAAGGTACTGACACCTATCCCTATGGATATTCGGCTTTTTGAATAGTTCTTCTAAAACTGAAGAGACATGTTTCCCAAGCACCAAGCTTATATAGATGAACCTGTCAATTTTGGTTTCTCCACATATTTGATTTTTTTATTTTATATTCTTTGGTTTTCAAATATGAAGACATTTCTGTAGATTGTGAAATAAGGGTGACCCCCCCCCCATCACTGTCCCCCTGAAATAACTTCCTGCATATTCAGCTATAATTGACCAAAATGCAATGTTGAAAGTAACCATGAGTAACTTCCCTTTTCTATTTCCAGTGGGTTTGGGTTTTTTTGCTGTTTTTCAGGCTATTTCTGGGAAAATAAATAGCTTTGGGGATTGGGGGATGTTTGCCAGAACACCAGACGTTTGTGCATCTTCTGTAAAATGTGGGTGATCTATAAAGTTTGTGGGAACTTGAGAGATGGGGTTTACATGGAGCCCATAAGCTGTACTTTCTCCACCCCTAATTATATTGGAACTTCCAAGTTTCATTGGTGTCCCAAGTTTCAGGCCTAAACATAAATATTTTGCTGTCTGAAATAACAGCCAAGATAGTACCACCTGCCCAGATATCACTTTGCAGATTTATTTATTTATTTGTATCAGGAGCAACTTGGGAAACTGCAAGTTGCTTCTGGTGTGAGAGAATTAGTCGTCTGCAAGGACATTGCCCAGGGGATGCCTGGATGTTTTTTGATGTTTTACCATCCTCGTAGGAGGTTTCTCTCATGTCCCCACATGGGGAGCTGGAGCTGACAGAGGGAGCTCCTCCTCACTCTCTCCAGATTCAAACCTCTGACCTGTTGGTCTCTAGTCCTGCCGGCACAAGGGTTTAACTGGAGCAAACTATAGGGAGCATACCGCACACCTATTAAAACAGCTTCATTGGCTGCCAATAAGTTGCTGAGCCAACTTCAAAGTGCAGGTCATGACCTATAAAGCCCTAAACCAGTGATGGGCAATCTTTTGAGCTTGGTGAGTCAAAATTTGCCAAAAACCTGAGCATAACTTGGGTAGAGTGTCACTTCGAGAAAAAAACCGTAATTTTGCAATATTTATAGTTTAAATAAGAAAAATGTATAATCCATGCTGAGTTATGGAGTGAACAATGCTCAAATGTGCAGATGTTAAATTTGTAGAGCCTTTTACGAATTTAAGGATGGAATTAGATTGGCTCTTATAAGGTGTATTTCTCTGTATGTGGCCGCATGTGTCTGTGTGTCATCAAAAATAGCCATGTGTGTCAGCG